CAAGCCTTAAGAATAAATGCATATAAAGCCAGAATTGGGAAAACAGCAAGAGAGAGCAAATGCTGTCTCTATAAAGAAGCTGAAGAAACTGCTTTGCCTACAAGTAAGAACATAAAATAGACAAAGTAATAGAAAATAAAGACCTAGCGTGGCTCTGAGACCTTAGAATTTAAACAAATAAGCATCTGCCACACAACACTCTGACAATTGTTGATAAAAAAGGCAAAAATGTCTGGACTGTAACACTTGGAGGCAGCAGAAGAGACGAGATTAGAGAAAATCACAAAATATAAAGACCTGAAAATAAAAGTAGAAAGACTGCAGCAAAAGAAAGCACAGTTAACGTCAATAGTAATAGGTGCCTTGGGTGCAATCCCAAAACAATTGGAGCACCATTTGAACATGATCAGCATTGACAAAATCACCATCCATCAATTGCAAAAGGCAACTTTACTTGGAATAGCATATATCCTGTGACTATACTTTTAATATTATTATACATTCTTTGGGAAGGACTTGATAAGTGGACAAAAAAGCCAAATCCAATTTAAACATCAGGCTGTGTGACCTATCATAAAAGTAGAAAGACTACAAAGTTGTTAAAGACTTTTTAGAACAAGGTTTGTGTCAACTCCCCAAGCTTCCATAACCTGCTCCCAAGTTGCCATAGGCAGGGGGATAGGGAATCGAGCCTTGCAGCTACATCGAAGAATTTGCAATTCAGTCAAAACAACGCACATCCTAGCGGCCAAAGCCAAGGCCATCTCCACAGAAACCAGTAACGGCCGGAGAGAGTGAGTTTTACGACCCGCAAAATTGCTTCATTGAGGAATGTGACTGATGATACACCTTGAGGGGAGGGGGAAACAGGGTCAGAGGCAAGACACAAACTGAGTGGGGTCAGAGCTGGCTTCATTTGGACTGTGCAGACATGTTGCTCCTAATAAACAACTGGATTTTTCTTGAAACTTTGCTTGAGGGTCCTGCTTTCATTAGGACATCTATTGGAACCCTGACAGCTTGATTTTTACTTTAAAAAATGTTGGGAACACTATTTAGCAGTGCGAGACTCTTGTTCCAATTTCAGTCTTCATGGGTATAAAAAAGAATTTCATAAAAGTTCTTACAAGCAGCAACACAAAAATTGCCACACACAAAAGCTGTTGCAGAACTAATGCTGTTGCTAGAATCTGAAAAGTGACCCTGGCAGAGAATGAGGTTGGCTCAAAAACTAACTTCAAAAGAAGAGTTTACAGATAGCTGGTTCCCATCTATTATGCATTCTCATTTAAGTAATGGCCTGCCAGGTACCCAAATTGGGTTTTGGAAAGGCTGTTCTGAACTTCTCATTATTGATGTTTATTGAATAAATAATGCCTCAAGTCCTGCTATGCTATCTCATCATGGAGGGGGATGTTCCTGAGATGGATGAGTGAAGAATGATGGGAGTTTACACCAAAAGTATATCCACCCAGAAGGTCAACCAATAGCATGAAAGTCATCCAGATGCCCAGCTAAAGCAGGCTCTTACGGTGTATTGGACACTAATGATATAGGAAGAAGTTGAAGTTGGACGACCATTTTAGTGATAACAGCAAAGGCATAATTTCATACTGTATGGGAAGAGGCTGTAGCAAACTATCCCCCAGTTTTATCAAAAAAAAACCCACATGGTTAGATAATATAAAGAAGTTGATAATATAGTGATGGATAGTGATTCCCTAGGGTTGAATGGCATTCAGCCTACTACTAAGGAATTGCTGAGGCTTTATTGGAGTACTAGTGATGTTTATGAGCCTTCAAGATGTCTAATGGCTGATGATGCCAAGCAGGAAAAGAAAACTCCAAGATGCAAAGACAGAATTACACGGAAGCATGGAAAATAAGAAGCATGGTCACAAGGAAACTCAATGCAGTGAAAGATGAAATGAAATGAAGATACATTGACTTCCTAAGAATCAGTACGCTGGAGTGGGACATGTGACTACTCAGGATGTAAAAAATTAGAATAATTGGATACAATGTAACCAATGACTGAATGATATCAATTAGACTACTCAGACAATTCTTCATTGTGACAGCTATTCAACTTTATGCTTTAACCAGTGATGCAGACAAAAAGTAAGTTGACATGTATTATCATCAAGTTCAAACTAAAATCAACAGGGAGTGCAGCAAAATGTGCTGCTTGTACATTGAAATGTCCAAGCTGGAAATAGTAAGAAAAGAAAATGTAGTTGGACTCTATAGCTTAAAAAACTTAAATGAGGCAGGAGAATATCTTATTTTCTGCCATTGCAATGATTTTAACTATTAACACATTCTTCAAACAATCAAACAATCATACAGGTAAGTCCTCAATTTACAATAGTTCATTTAGTGACCATTCAAAATTACAGTAGCACTGAAAAGAGTGAATTATGATGATTTTTGACGGTTATGACCATTACAGCATCCCCATGTGGCTTACATTCGGATGCTTGACAATTGATTCATATTTGTGACAGTTGCAATGTTCCAGGATCACGTGATAACCTTCTGACAAGCAAAGTCAACAGCGAAGCCAGATTCCCTTAACAACATTCACTGTGACTAACTTAACAACTGCAGTGATTCACTTAACACATGTAGCAAAAAAAAGTCATAAAATGGGACAAAACTCACTTAACAAATTTCCCACTGAGCAACATAAAATCTGGGCTCAATTGTGGTCGTAAGTCAAGGACTAGCTATACCTATATACACGGACATCACATGACAGAGTTCAACCAATATAAATTGACTATATTATTGGTGCAAGGAGATGGAAGAGCTCAATTACTGCAAAGATGTGGCTAATTATAAAACTACTCATGAGCAAACTCTGAGCCAAACTGAAGTGGAAGAATAAAGCTTCCAGTTTTCATTATAGGGTCTTCAGCATATGACCCCTATTTACAAGGGGAACATTTGGAATTGCTTTGAAGACTTAAACTCAGGAAATTGATAAGGAACCAAGAAAATGGTGGGATGAAATCAGAGCAGTTGTTAAAGATAAATATAAAAAACTCCCAAACACCAAGAAACAGATGGAGAGCCTGGATCAGTCTAGGATAACTCACTGTAGCTGGCTTGCCTTGGCCAGATTGCCCCACCCAACTTGCACCCACTGACTCGCCCCAGCCCGTCTCAACGCAGGACAACTCACCACAGGGTAATTCAACACAAGATAATTGTACTCTTATCCACCAATGTTTCTTCAGTATTATTTTAATTTTTATCATCCACATTTTATTTTGTCCCTCTTTTAGCATCCTTTATTTAATGATTCTATTCCACCATTTCTTCAATATTTCTTTAATAATATCAGATCCGGCATATTTTATCTGAATTATTTTTTTCCAGGATTTAAAACGCACTATTATTTGTTTATTTATTCAAATTTTATAGCCGCCCATCTCAATAAATAACTCTGGGCAGATGCCATTTAAAAAAAATATACAGGTAAAACAATAAAAACATTTTAAAACAATAAAAACTAGATAAAAAAACATCTATTCAATGTTTATCTAGTAGCCAAATTTTGTATTGCCATAATGAAAATAAGACAAAAATGGCTAAAGAAGTAATTGGTTTAAGAAATTTTCACTTTTATCACTAGCATCATTTTTAGATAGTTATTTTTAATTAATACATTTCTACAGGATATTTACTCTATATTATACTTTTTCCATTTTTAAATTTATCATTGCTTGGCTAGTTAACATGTTAATATGGTAACAGAGATGTGAATGTAATATCATTATGCGATTTGTCTTTTAGTACATTCCATATTAATTTGCTTCATTGTGTTACTGCTCTTTTAAGTTTGCATATCATTGAATAAATAAATACGATTACTACTTAAAACAAAGAATTTCAGACTGTTGTTAGAAGAAAGAACAAGCAATATCCAGCATCTGTAAAATCAATGAGGATGGAAATAGATGCAGAAAAACAAGAAAATTCTTCCAAACATCTTCCAACTCAGAAAGAGATTCCATCCTCAAATAGGTATGCATGAAGGATGACAATGAACAGATAACTGATCCAAATCTCAGGAGGAAAATATTGAAAATTCTGTACAGTAGAGATATCTATATGCAAGATACCTTAGAAGATATTCTATGTTTGCAAGAACCTCTAATATTATCAGTCATTCTATAATTTTCATCTAATATTTTAGTATGAAGAGGGGAGCAGGCAGTTAGAATGGGCAGAGAACAACCAAGATTGGCAGGAAGAGGTATAGAGAAATCTGTGTCACAGATGTCAATGTATGCTTAATTTCATTTAGGATCATAGTCTCAAGTTCAGTGCGAGAATAAGGAAAAACCGTGGCTTATATGAAGGGTTGATGTCCGTCCGTCCCCATCCCCCCCCATCCTTAGATAAGGTCACCAAGCTGTAATTTTAAATCTGTCAGATAGACAAAAATTGAAATAAACAAAAAGTAGTCATTTTTACTGAATTCAGTAAATCTAAATTGAAATTTAGTTTTTGTTTGCCTAATTTATTGTCTCAATTTCAAACTATGCAGGATCAAACAAAATCCCAACAAGTCCTTTATCCCAAACATAGTTGAACATCTCTGACTTTAGAGGTATGTTGCCCTGATTAATTTAATACATATGTGAAACACAAATCAAGATTAGATTGCACGGAGGTTCTTTTTAAAGTCCTGCTAACTCATGTTCTCCCTTCATATTCTGCAGTAGGAGTCCTTTATTTTATGTTAATTTATTTTTACCATGCATTTTGTTGGCGCTTTAGTTTTTTGTGAGCTCGTGGGAATTCTTGGGTCCAATTATTCATGAATAGTAAAAACTGAACATGATAATACTGAAGCTGATAATACTTGTTTTCAAATATGATTCTCCAAGTATTAAAAGTATTCAATTCAAACTTATGTGAGTGACAGTAATATAAGTGACAAATATGAAACTGGTAAGGAGAAAAGTTTCTTCAGCTTTAAATATTACCTGCTCTGGTTTGATGGGCTCAGTTGTCGTAAAGATGTCAGAATAATGCTGTCTTTCAAAAACTCGATCCAATACTTCTAATTGTTGCTGAGTGAAAATATCTCCCCGCATTTGTTTCCGAAGGAAGTCTCGACCTGGAAGCGAATGGCCATTTGGTATAGGAGATTCCTGAATACCTTTCCAAAAGGGGATAAAATGCAGAGACAGATAACTATTACTACAGCAATTAAAGCATATTTTTCACTTGAAGTTAAAAATGTAACATATCGTATAAATAAAGGTTACCACAACATCTTTGCCTTATCTGTGTGTCTGTGTGTGTTGGTAAGTTTTATATTTATGTGTTTATATTCATAAAACTAATCCCTGGAGACTTATGACGAAATGGTGTAAGAGATCATACAGCTGCTGAGTAATTGATACAGAAAATATTTAATTAAGCATAATGGTAGTCAAAAGTCATTAAAAACATCACAAAATATCTCTTCTTGTAAATTATACTGAAATATCAAGTTGTTTATATATAGTCTTCTAAAAGAATACAGACCTCTTTAAATTCAACACAAAGCTCTCATTGAACAGTAACTTCAATTTCCCTTGAGACCCTAACACAAATAAGGGGAATGGCAAATATTTCTTTTCTGCTATGTACCTATCTGCATTCCAAAAGTAATGAAGAATTGCTGCTTCAGTTTAAGAAGTGGTATCTCTAAAGAGTGGGGGGCAAACTGGTAGATCTTTAGCTCCAAAAAATTGTATCTGGCCACTGATCTGAAAAAAAATGAGTGGATCTGAAAAAAATAGAGATGAGAGAGAGAATTTGCCTACATCTAAGGTGGAATAAACAAATTAAATTCATATTTTTAAAATATTTGCATTAGAGCAAGGGTTTTCTAATTTCTATGAAAAAGTAATGTTTGGTTCAAGTGTCAATCAAGTGATGAAAATAAACAATGCTGATGAGTTTTCCACTCATTCCACTCATATGCTTTATATAGTACACAGTATATTATTAGTATTCCAGCATGGTGCGAGGTCTGAGGGACTAAGCATATCAAGAGAAATAGGAGGAACTGAATATGTACAGCTCAGGGGTGTCAAACTTGACTTCACTGTGGCCCACATCAGAGTTGTGTTTGATCTTGGAGGGCTGGGATGGGCATGGCCAGGATGGGCATATGAAAATTATAAATGTGAGAATTGGTCATAAAGTTTCAATTGAGAATGGTCACTAAATGAGGCAGTTGCTAAACAAGGATTACCTACTGGTGAAATCTATCAGCTGTCCCTCTAGCTCCTGTCCCTTCATAAGAATCTTTTTCATATACTTGCACATTCAATACATTTTTCATATAACAATGAAAAGCATTTAGCTGCCATCAATAAGTCCAAACTACAATCCATCTTGCAGTTTCAATAAAACAAGTCTACACATAGAAATTGTGCATCTATGTCAATGTAACTTTCCCAAATTATGTAATGCCTCACAGGACAAGTACTGGGTTCAGTCAAGCATAGGCTTATAAAATTAAAAATCTGGAAGGTATTGAAGGCTGGAAAAGGCCAAGAGTACCTTTCAGCAGAGCATAAAAATACTTGTATTAGACTGTTAGGCTAAATCAATATTATTTTGCAATTGGATGTTAAAGTTGTGCATTTACATAATTCTGATGAATGGAAAGAAAAAATCAGTTACAGCTTTACTGAAATCAAACATTTCCCATTGTTTTCTTGGAGCATGCCTACTAGTTGTTTACAAGTTACAGAAAGTGCTGTTATTAATATGCATTACAATCAAATGTCTTTATGAACTTTAAACTCATGTTGAAAAAGTGTCAGGCCCAGAATGTTACCTGAACAAAAAATATTCTGTATTAATATAAGGCAAATTAGTCTGATTGAATAAATAGATAAGATGTAGACTTGTAAATTCTATATTGGTTTAAATTCTTCAAGTGGGAGGAGGAGGAAAATAGTCCAATATTGATGCTCTCTGTGCATCCAGCAATCTGCAAAAATTATAACAATATCTAAGAACCTATGTGCTCTAAAGATCACTCAAACAATAATTGCACCCATTGTTCCTTTCAATTCCCTAAGGACATGAGCAAAGCCATCAAAAATAACCATGAGCAAAAATGAAGCCCTGGCTTGGTTTGGTGCAACATTTGGTGCAACATTCCATAGCTATTTGAATTTGTTGGCTCTTGATGAGCATTTTATATATTATACAATAAGCATTCTACAAATGAGAGTGATCCTGTAAAAAGAAAAACAATTATAAGACATCAAAAAAAAACTTAAAAGTGCCACCTAGTCCAAATTATTATGTAATATGAACTAATGCAAATTGTTAGAATAAAAAATACATAAGGATTTTATATGAGCTATAAAACACTCGCAATAAAATTCAGTATGTAGTTAGAAATTAAGAACCAATAGAATAGAATACTATTTGAATGGCCTCAATTCATAAAAATTGCAATTTTTCATGCTTCCAACTCATCATATCCTTTCTCATTCTCCACATTTGTTGCTGTGTCTGATTTACTGACTTAGCAAAAATTTTCCATCTTATTAAGGCAAGCTAGTTAGGAAAGCATTAAATTATATATTTTAAAATACTGAACATACATGCAAGTAAAATATTATCAGGATGCAGAAACTGCTATATATATATTTTTTCTTCTATCACTCTGCCTGTAATTAAGGCTACCATATGAGGGTGAGGAGATATTTCATTAAATTATTACTTGGCAAGGTTTGTAATATTACCACCCTGAAAAATCTGTCTTTATCTGACAAGTAATATATTCATTTTGTCTATGTAAATACCAAACATGTGATTTCAAAATCATCAAATGTAGAAAAGTTCTCTGTATTGTAGTCTCCCAAATGGTATTATTCTAAAGGATAATATCACTAAAAGGGAGGGAGAAAAACCTTTATGTTTTGTAGTTCATCACTCCACAAATATTTTCAAGAGATATCACTATATTTCTCCAAGAAGTTATGAGGTTTTGCTGCAGATCAAAAGCACTAGGAGACGGGGGGGGGGGGGGGGCGCAGTGGAGGAAAAAAGAAAAGATAAATCATCAGAGATCCAAAAATACTTTTCATTTGGAGACGATATCAGGCCATTTTGATGGCACTGATAGAGTCTCATCTCTGTCTCCATTACGCACTGAAGACAGGCAGAGTCCAGAGCTGACAACACTAGATTATACTCTCTATAAGATGGTCACCAATATATATATATATGATCTTCAACCTCTATTGATTGACCAATTTCACAAGCAAAGACTGGTGAAATGAAGCTGAAATGAACATCATGCTTTAACTCATTGAACCTATCAGGCCTGAGTTAATCTCACTGTCCACTGTCTCTGATAGAATTCAATTGATCAATCATGTTTCGGTGATAGTACCATTTCACTGGCTTATTGCTTCTTCATTTCAAAGCTTGACCTGTTAGATATACTTGGACCATTGTTAGTCTCAAATACACAGAGATCAGAATCACAACCAAAGTCTATTGTCTCATGTCTAAGTTTATAAGACTCTGAGGATTTCATCTCATGCATGCTGGTGATATGCAGCCGTAATGACATATTCACTTTCTCAGTCCATAAATTCTGCTTTTTGCCTTAATGTTCCATAATATTCCATTCACCAAAGCTATCAGGAAAATAATTATAAATTGGCATTTAAGTTTTAATCATTTGTATACTAAGGTACTGTATGTGCTCTCTTTTTACATTTGATAAGATTTGTTTATGTTTTTACAAATTTATTTTACATCACGTCCATCATACATTCACAGAAAACCTGAACACAGTAAAGGATGTATGATGTAATTATTCTGATGACACCACTATAACTCAGTTCTCTGTCCATTATCTATTAAAAGCATAAACATGCATGTTATTTATTTATGTATATGTATATAGACATCTTTTTTTTTCCTGTATCTCATGGCTAATTGCAAAAAATCTCCAAAATATATATTCAGGAATTATGGAGTAAATGTTATGTGCACTACAAACTATTATTAAAAAGGTAAGTAGGAGGCATATTTATTTATTTATTTATTGTTATAGTAAAATATCAAAATACTTTCTATAACTTTACATACATTTTTAATTCCCAGTCTATTTGCTGCAGTCATTTAATCAGTATGACTAGCTACCTACCAGTTAAATGGATCAAGCTTGCCATCCCTGCTGGAAATGGCCATTCAGATATACAATATTCAATCCTTTATTTTGAAATGAAGTTTTTATTAGTTTTATTGTGAAATATGATTTCAAAAAGACCAAAGTGAAAAATTTACATAATGTTTTTCTAAATAATCTTTAATTTGATGCTGCGATACATCCAAACAGATATTTTCAACCATGTCAGGATCAGCTCTAGATCAATTGTATCAACAGTGCTGACTATTTTGGGAAAGAAGTCAATGACATTTTGCTCTAATTTGCATTTGTTTTTCTCTTTAAACTGTAGTTTCCTGGCAGTCCAGAAATTCAGCTTCACCTTGACTTTCAGTTCCTAATAATTCAAATCAGTCATTATACCATAGCTGCATTTAGGTTTTATTCTTCAGCCCAGAGAGGCACAGTATGCCTTAAAATTTATCTTCTTAATTCCTCACCCCCATCCTTAGATATGGCCCCCATAGCAATATGCAATGATGGGCAAAACTATTGGTGTAAGTATTTACATACTAAATTGCTGACATACCATTAGGCTACCACACAGAGACCTTTTTCATATAAGAATAGCCTGGTGCCATGGGGATCAAATAAACAGAATTGCCTTTGTTTTCATCATTCAAATTTACCTCCGTCTCATTTCTCTTCATAATAAAATCTCACAGTTTTTGACAAACTACCAATAGATGTATGCAAATATGTGCGCACAAAAAAACTGGATTGAAGAATATTTTATTTTGTACAGCATTTGTTTTTCAATGAATGGAGATACTGTAATTGGAGAAGTAAGAAAGTAAGATTATATGTTTTTGTGGGTGAGCTATATATTTAGTTGGCTTATGGTGCTTCATTCAGGCACTAACTCATAAACAGTGCTGCCAGAGAATTGCAAAGAGCTTCTGTTTGTTAAAGGTTGGAAGATAGGTAATGTGGAAGTACCATAGCGTGGGACAAGTGGTTTG